TAGGGTTAGGGTTAGGGTCTAGGGTAAATACAATAAATGTGATAGGGTTAGGGTTAGGGTTAGGGTCAGGGTCTAGGGTAAATATGATAAATGCGATAGGGTTAGGGTTAGGGTTAGGGTTAGGGTTAGGGTTAGGGTTAGGGTTAGGGTCTAGGGTAAATACAATAAATGTGATAGGGTTAGGGTTAGGGTTAGGGTCAGGGTCTAGGGTAAATACGATAAATGCGATAGGGTTAGGGTTAGGGTTTGGGTTAGGGTCAGAGTCAGGGTAAATACAATAAATGTGATAGGGTTAGGGTTAGGGTCAGGGTCAGGGTCTAGGGTAAATACGATAAATGCGATAGGGTTAGGGTTCGGGTAGGGTCAGGGTTCAGGGTAAATACGGTAAATGCGATTGGGTTAGGGTTAGGGTCAGGGTCAGGGTAAATATGATAAATGCGATTGGGTTAGGGTTAGGGTTAGCGTTAGGGTCTAGGGTAAAGACGATAAATGCGATAGGGTTAGGGTTAGGGTCAGGGTCTAGGGTCAGGGTCAGGGTCTGGGGTAAATACGATAAATGTGATAGGGTTAGGGTTAGGGTTAGGGTCAGGGTCTAGGGTAAATACGATAAATGTGATAGGGTTAGGGTTAGGGTTAGGGTCAGGGTCAGGGTCTGGGGTAAATACGATAAATGTGATAGGGTTAGGGTTAGGGTCAGGGTCTAGGGTAAATACGATAAATGTGATAGGGTTAGGGTTAGGGTCAGGGTCAGGGTCAGGGTCTGGGGTAAATACGATAAATGTGATAGGGTTAGGGTTTGGGTCAGGGTATAGGGTAAATACGATAAATGCGATAGGGTTAGGGTTTGGGTTAGGGTTAAGGTCAGGGTCTAGGGTAAATACGGTAGGGTTAGGGTTGGTTTAGGGTTAGCCTCCGGGTCTAGGGTAAATATAATAAATGTGATAGCGATAGTGTTAGGGTTAGGGTTAGGGTCTAGTGTAAATGTGATAGCGTCAGGATTAGGGTCAGTGTCAGGTTTAAGGTTGGGTCGAGGGTAAATATGATAAATGCAATAGGGCTTGGGTTAGGGTTAGGGTAGGGTTAGGGTCTAGGGTAAATGTGATAGGGTTAGGGTTAGGGTAGGGTTAGGGTCTAGGGTAAATGTGATAGGGTTAGGGTTAGGGTAGGGTTAGGGTCTAGGGTAAATGTGATAGGGTTAGGGTTAGGGT